CCCTCCTCCATCACTCCCAGCTCCTTACACCACTGGGACACCGACCCTGCAATGGTCCCACTGACCAATTCCTCCCCCAGGATCACCAAACCTCCTCTGTTGGACGTGCAGAAAACCCCAGCCTTTGCCTCTCTGGATCCTGTTGCCCTCAGAGCTGAGCTGCCAAGTCTGTTAATCATTCCAAAGCTCCAGCAACACATTTATTTATTTACTCAAGTGGACAATATTATGTTAAGTGCTTTATGGCTTTCTTGAAAGGCTCAATTTATTTATAAACTATTGACAGAGTCAATAAGTTCATAATGGGCCACATGTAAAAATCAATTCCCGTGGAAGCAAAAAAGAAAAAAAAAAAAAGTCATCACAGCAACAAATTGTGGCCTTTTGAGGAGGTAAGTGGATGTGGTAGATCTACTCAAGGCACTGTTACTTGGCCATTTATGTAGTAGAAGGGAAACTGTGAGCTAAGGGACAATTTAGGGGAACCATACACACATACATACATATATATATATATAAAATTTGATTGCTCTTACAAAGTTGACACATCACAAAAGCATCAGTGTGCCATGTAAGGATGGGTCCTTAACCTCCTCCTGCAAGGAGAGCTATTAAATTTTGGAGGCTGTTCTTCAAACGATGGCACTTTAGGAAAATACATCCTTAGTGAAAGCACTTGTCTGCAACTTCTCTGCAGGGAGCCCGAGGTTTGGAGAGCAGCAAACCCTCAGGGGGGAAAAAGAGGTCAAGTGCTGATGTTGGGACCTGAAAAAACACAGCTCTTGGGAAAACGAGGGGTAGGAAGCCTGAAAGACAAACAGGGCACAGGGAAAGAGGGAGGTTTGCTCTCACATCTGAGGGCCTGGGGGGTACCTGAGGGAATGATTTACTGAACAACTGGGAATCCAGCACAGGGTGGACTCTGAACAGCACAAACAGACTGGGACAAGGTGAGGCAGCACAGGCAGAGAAAGCCAGGGAGGTGCAGTTATTCTTTGTGGGAATGCTCCTGTTCTCGTGCTAAGCAGGGTGAGGAGAAATGGCTTTGGCAGCCTTGCAAAAACCTGATTTGTTTGCCCTGCTACCACATGCCACTGAAAACATGAACCATAAATCCAGGGCGTGACAGGGGCTCTACAGAACGGTTTGTATCAGCTGCTGGGGAACAGGAAGGCTGGCTGGGCTGCAAGGGAAGATTTGTCAAAGACTAACGAGAGGAATCTGCCTTCCTCACCTGGGTGAGGAAGAGGGAGGGTGCCCAGAGCTGGTGCAGCAAAGCCAAACACCACTGGGGCTCAGGGTGCAGAACCAGACACAGAAAAACAAGGTTATTTCACCAAAAAAAAAGCTGATTTCACAAAGCAGGACTAAAAACCTAAGCTCCACAGCCCTGGTCAGACACTAATCTGTAGTTCACTGCCCCTTCTGCTTTACTTGGCATCACTACTTGCTTCCAAGGGATGTCACTGGGATGACAAGCTGTCACTGAGACGTGTGACATTGTCTGGGGGATCTGGACACTCCTTTCCCCTCCAGTTCCAACGAGGCACCCAGAGCGACAATTCAGCTTTGAAACCCTCCTCCTGCATGAAGGCCTCTTTATAAATCACTAAACAAAGAAGAAGTAAGACGCAAACAAAAAAGAAAAGCCCCAAACTGATTTATCTGGTCTCTGGGAATTGAGCACAGCAGCTGTTTTATCAGCAACAGCACCTGCACACAATATTGTCAGGGAAAAAACTGCATCCAGTGAAGAGCCTGCCTGACTTAAGGCACTAGTAAAACTCCTCTACACCTTCCTTCTGACAGTAATAATTTTAATTGTTTCCATTATTTCCATCTAATCTCCCTGATAAATGTTTTGAAACTTAAACCCAGCCTGAGGTCCATATGTTATTAAAAAAAAAAATAAATGCAAGCAGAGAGGGGAGAAGAAAAAAAAAAAAAAAAAAAAAAAGACAAACTCAACAAGCTGCACGGAATTAACAAGCTGAAAGAATTAATTGTAGCACGGGATTTTGGAGGCATCAAACACCCCTCCTACTCTGTGCTGCTGATTTCAGGGATTTCCAGTGCTGGAAGGAAGGTTTTCTTCAATGCACAGCAGGCCATTTGCAATGGTTTATTTAGGCACTATTATTATTATTATTATTATTATTATTATTATTATTATTATTATTATTATTATCATTAAGCACACCATTACCCCCTTACATGGCCACAAGCTCTGTGGATCCCCAGCCAACCTGTGCCCTGCCAGGGAGCAGGGAAGGGACAACGAGGAGTTCTGAGCCCAGCTCAGCACCTCCTCAGGAAATTCCCTCCCAGAAGGGCAATTCCCAGAGCAAGAGAGTTCCCCGCTGTGTGGAGATACCAGGAAAACACTTGGATCAGATGGATATTTTCTGCCAGGGGGTGGAGAACAGGAGGGGGCTCGGCTGCCACGGGGACCCCGTGCAGAGATGATGGATGTGAGGAAGCAAAACGCACACCAGACCTGCTCTACTTCTCTGAGTTTCATTAGGAACTCCTGGAAAATTTGTTGAGCTTCTGCTGCTGACAAAAAGGGTCCCCTGAGCTGGCTGAGGGAGCCTGATAATGAATTTGCACGCAGTAAATTAGCCTGTGGATATTTTTCCATCGGGCTGCTCGCCTCGGCTCCCATGGAATTCCTCCCCGTTTGCTCCTGCCATCGGGCTGGGAGAGCATTGCTGCCACTATCTGCAGCCATCAGGCTGGAGCAGAGGGGCCATCATCCCAAAATCTCTCCCCTGTGCCCCGGTGCAGTGGGAGCCACAACAACTTCCCTCCATCCAAAGCTCCGCAGAGAGCGGAGCTGAGACACCGCGAGCTGTCGGCTGGGATGTGCTTATTAAATAAAATTAATGCTAAAAGACAGAAACAGAATTCCCCTCGACTGCTGCAGGGCAGGTGTTTAATTCAGCATTTTATCCTATTTTCTCCTCTTTTTTTTTCTTTTTGCCTGAAATATTTTTCCCATCTCCGAGCAGCTCAGTGCTACGCAGGCTGTCTATTCCCCTTCTGATGGTTCTCCCCTCATTTAAAGCCATCTTTTTGTTGCTCCCCTTGACAGCAGTTCACTGTGATTTTATCTTTTCTATTAGGCAGTGATTGCAAAACCTCAGAGGGTTCATTAGGAGCTTGATAATCCCCCCAGATTTATGAGTCTAAATTGCTCACTCCCATCTCCAATCCCCATTTAAATATTACTAATTTCCTTAAACATCTCTTCCATCTGCCCAGGTTTTGTCTGATGTCACCTTTCTGCAACGGTCCCTGCCAAAAATCCAGTTAGTTCTGCTAAGGGCTGGTCTTTTGGACAAAGTGGTAAAATAACCTGGGTAAACACATTAATATCTTGTGAGAGTGAATGGTAACAGAACTCATTTCCTTCTCACCTGCCAGAACTGAGTTACACGAGATGAATGGGTTTCAAAGAGAAATTTCACCTCAAGCAAATGCTTAAATCACACCCCTGCTCACAACTCGTGTGGGGGTGGAGGTGGGGAGCTTAATTTTAATAGTTATTTCTGTTATCTGTGAACAGACTCCGCTGTGCTGGTGATGAGCAAACAGACACCCCTCACTGTGTGCACAGTCTGTGGCACTCTGACTGCCAGGGGAGGGCAAGGGGAAGAAGAAAAAGTTGGTGGGAGCATTTGCAACAGGAAAACTACTTCCTGGGAGTGGGAAATGACTGGAATGGTTTGGAGTTGAGGCGGGATGTGACAGGGGTGGCACTGTCCCTCACCAGCCCTGCCAGCAGCAGCAGCACAGTGACACTGCCTGGGGGGGCAGAAATCACAGCCCCCAGTCTCCATCACTGCCTGACCCCCTCCAGGTACATCCCTTCCTTCTCCATTCCTGCCCAGTGCTGATCCACCCCATGGGGATGAACGGGATCAGTGAAGCTTGTTCCTGCAGCGAGGACCTACAGATCAAACACGGAGCAGGAACCAGAATCCTCTTTGTTCAGGCAGCAATCTGGTGGTTTTTTCTATATTCTCCCTATCTCCTTTTCCATTCTCTGGCCAAGTTGCTCTCTTGGCTTTCCAACCCCTCCATTTCACTCCTTTCCCCCTCCTCCTCTCCACTCCAGCTCTCCTGCCCACCCGTTTGGCTCCATCCCTTCCCGTCTGTCTCCCACCCAAACACAAAGCATGATTCAGCTCTCGGCTTTCCTGGCACAGGCACACCCTGGCATAAATATTAATAGAAATTAGAGAATATGACTATCATATGGGGCTGGGAGGCACCTCCACTCAACCCTCCAGCCCATCTCAGGTTTCCATCAGCCCCACACCAGCATTAAAAGGCAGGTATGTGGCCTCCTGGTAGCACTTCCCTCACACCACATGGCGACTGCTGCAGCAGGAGAAGTTTCTCTGATGTTTATTTTGGGTTTCCCCTCTGCTGCTGCCTGAGCCCATTACTCCTTGTTTAGCACAGTGCTCTGGGGTTTAACCACACCATCCCCCCATTAATGTTATTAGGAGCTATAAAGCCAAACCAGGGGCCATGCTGGAGATACACCCACACTGATGGGCTCAGCTTTCCTCTGTCCCACAGAGCAGCTCTCAGAGGCTCAGCAGGAAAGCAGGGGGCTGTGATGCCCTCTGGATGCTCCTCCCAGGGCAGCCTGGACTTTTGCCAGCATGGGGAACGGGGTCAGGGGGTGACACTTCTGAATCCTTGCTCAGGAGCAACCCATCTGCTGGAGCTTTCCAAAGACCTGCACATCTCACTGCACCACAGTCACAGTGCCTGCAACCCCTGCCTTTGGCTGCTGCAACACAACAGTCAGCCTTCACCTCCCAAAGACCAGGGCAAGCCTCCCCCTGACTGCTGCTCAGCTTTGCAGGAGGACTCCCCTCCCTCCCCACCCCAAGCACGTGGCTCTTCCCGCGGGTCAGGGGGATCAGCTCCCATTCCCGGGACTCCGCGTGCGCGCGGGAGGGAAGCCGAGAGCGACGTCTTACCAGATTAGTGAAGATATAGGTGTAATAGGCAGATGCCATCCCCAGCTCAGCTGCCTGTGAAGGAGAGGAAAGGAGATTAAACCAGAGCCCGACAATCTTCGGTCTCCACTCCAGCAAGGCACAGCCTGGGCCACGTTTGCTTTCTCATCCTTATCGCTCCCCGCGGCAGGGACGGCTGGGACACGGCAACACGGCCTGACCTGTGCAACTAAAGGCTGGGGAAGCAATTCTGCAGCAGGGCTGAGCCTATTTGAGGTCCCCTCTCAGCACAGGGGGTGCCTGGCAGAGAGAAATGACCCAACACTGCCCGAGCTGCAGCTCCAGACCCCTGGGAGCTTCCCTGCTCCCTCCACGAAATGGAATTCAGGGATTTCTGCACGTGGCTCCATCCTGTGGGTGTATCCAGCCAAGGACAGGATGCCCGTTGGAAGCAGAACCTTTGGAACACCCAGCAGACCCTAATGGTCCACACAGACCACGGAAAGGTGAGGTGGGTCCTGAAGCCCCAGCCCCGAGATTCTCCAGAACACCTTGGGATGAGGAGTTCCATGGTGTGTTTGGAGGGGAAAAAAGGTTTGCTGAGGTTTTCTGCTTTGTCTATGGAAGCTGCTTTGCTCCTGTTCAACTACCAACATATTTGGGAACACAATGGGAGAAAACAGCAGTTGAGAGCTCCAGGCTTGTCTCTTCCACCGTAAAAACAGATGCAGAGAACAAGGCAGGAAAAGCTCTTTTGGGATTATAGGAGAAGGAAAGTCAAGCTGCTGGGGGTTTTCCCATTTTGGTCTCCAGCCCCACAAATAAATAAGCATTAATGGAACCCAGTAACTCAGCCTGTTCTCCAGAATTTGGACAGGCTTTTGATGGCCACAGAAATAGAAGAAAAGAGGGTAAAAATATATAGGGATGCAGAGAGGACACAGATGTTTCCATGGGGATGATCTCTTCTAGAGATCACAGACCAGGTCACTGAAGTCCTTTTCCAAAATTCTCACTAAACAAGTGAGTTAGTTGTGGGAACAGATGCTCAGGAAAGTGAGGCATTAATCTGCAGATCCTCCTGGAAGCCTGTGTTTTGCTGCCAAGCACAGCTGGTCCCAAATAATGCTTCAAGACCTTGGCAAAGAGGTTTTCCCATCACTCCAAACCATACAAAGGAGCAGGAGACAAAGAGGGAAGGGCCAAAGGCAGCACCTCCTGATTTTACTCCCTTTCAAACTCCCCAAGAAGCTGAAGGATGGTGAAAAGAGAAAATAAGTGAGAGAATGGTCCCTCTCCCTACTCCTGCCCGTCCTTCACCTGTTCCTGTGCAAACCTGAGGCCACCACCACTGCTGGTGGCTCAGGTCTGGCTGTGTCCAGCCCTTTGGCTGCACGTTGTCACCCTGTCCCTGGCACAGGTGGCAAAACAAACCCAGCAAAGTCACTGGATGAAAAGGGCACCCTGGCTCTGGAGGAGGCTCCCGACAGCTGCCTCGCTTTTAAACACCCCCCACAGTAAAACCTGGCACCAGATTCCCTCCCTCTCCCCTTGCTGGGGCCAGCGTTGATGTCAGCTCTCCCTCTGACCCACTTTGAAGTCATTGTGCCTGATTTCAAGGGCAGAGAATCAAAGGGAGCAGCAGAGCAGCTCCCGGGAGCGTCGCTCCCATCGCGCTGGCGGGCGGGAGCTGGGACAGGCTGGGAATCCAGGGAGCAGCCACGTGTCTCCAGCCCACACGTGGAGGGCAAGAGATGAGAAACTGTAATTTCTCTCCCTGTGGCAGGCCAGGACTGGTCTCCTAAGACAGAGCTGACATTTCCAAACCAACAGTGCCCTTTTCTTGCTGTTGGCGACCTGTGAGAAGGACAAGGCTGTACCTGCTTGCTCGACACCCACCTCGCCCCATATCTGCTTCCACCCCTGTAAGGAAAGGACTTCCCAGCCTCCCAAGGTGCAAGAAGTTGCCAGATCACAAGCTCATTATTTATTACCTTCCATTCCTACAGTCCTCTGGCTGGGAAGGCTGGATTAGTTTTTACAGAAAAAAAAAAAATCGTGGGAATCACTGACATCTTTATCAGTTGTGGCAGAAGGAGCTGGGCAGGGAGGCTGTGTGTGCCTGAAGGGAGCTGCTGTGTGCCTGTGGGAAGTCACTATAGCAACAGAGGAGGGGGACAGCCCTCAGCAGCCAGGCAGCAACAGGGACCTGGGGTGGGGGGGAAAGGGAGAAAAAAAAACCACACCAAAAAAAATCCCCCAAACCGTCTATTTAAAAATAAAAAATGACATGCAGCGGAACAAAAAAATCTTTGGGGAGGTGGGGAATAATAAAAACATCCCTTCTGGCTGTCATCAAGGATAAATCTGACACAGTCAAGGCCTCTGGATGACTAATTCCGTGATAAAGCAGCCAGGACACTGCCTGGAATGGCTGCACCAACAGCCAAGGGGATCCCACGGCTTGGATCCTGCCTCCACTCAGGAATGTGCTTCTTGTACCTCCCAGGATGCGGGAAATTCTACCCAACTTTAGACTCCATCTGGAGCCACTGCTCAGTTTTGAGGCAGACTATCAAAACAAGCTCTAAAAACTGCAGCGAGAGACCATTTAAAAATAAACACGATTAAAATGAAATCTCGGTTAATAAGACAATTAAAAAAAAAAAGAAAAAGGCAGCAAAAAGTTAAGAAACATAAAGGGAGGGGAGAAAAATGAGACACCAGTGCACTGATGGACTAATTCCAGAGGGCTGAGCTGTTTGATGGCAACAGGAGCCACCAGCACACACCACTTGGAGAAGGCAAACACAGCAGCTCAGAGTAATTAAAGCATCACCTCCCCAGATAAGAGTCCGGGAAAGAGAGGGCAAATTATTTTCCCTATAAACTCCATCACAGTGGCAATTCCCCTCTCAGCAGAGCCCGTTTCCAGGGATTTCCCCACTCCATTACCATGCAACACGTGGGACCTGGCTCAGGGGGAGCAGCAGCCCCCGGAGCTGGGACAGGGAAGGGACACTCACCTTCTGCAGGATGGTGTGGGACATGGAAGCGTTGGCATGGACAATGATTGTGGCTGTCTTGTCATCCCTGATCTCCTTCAGGAGAGGGGTGGGATCCCGGCTGTCATCCAGCATCCGCACCGAGAGCGTGTCCTTGGAAATGAGGAACTGCCGGAGCAGCTTCTCCAGGTTTAAAAGGCCTTCAAATAAAAGGGAGAAAAGCCTTTAAACGTTATGCTTGGCTCAGAAAGCTCTTCTCCCATGGCCCACAGCCATTCCCAGCAGGATGCAGTCCTGCAGTTCTGTGTCTGTGCAAAGGAAAGGATTTGGGACTCAGTGCTTGGCCCAGCAGGGAATGGGAAATGATGGAACTACACCAGCTGTTCTCCAGGAAATAGTGGCCCCAAAGTCCTCTTGAGAAGAGATAAGATTGTTGATATGAATTTTCTCAGGACCCCAGAGTCCAGAGAAGTTTTTCATAATATGTGGGATTGTTCTGGTTATTGGAGGGTTATTCCTCCTCCTCAAGCATTTCCAGCTCCCAGACTAAGTGGCCTGCAAGGCACAACTCGATACACTTGGGAGACCCTGGGGCACTCTGCTGGGAAGCTGCTGTCTTCCAAGGGGATGGAAAGCTCTGCTGAGGTCATTGCTAAAATACAACATTAATTCCACATTAAAAAATGGGCTGAATTGGCTGTGACTGAAATTGTGAGTATGGTCCTAGTGTGGGTCAGAATTACCTGTGGGCTGGGGGTTCCCAGAGCAACACAGAAGCCAACAATAACACCAACCAACCCACCGACCAGCATAGTTGGTGCTTTATGGAGAAATTAGGAGAGTTTTAAAGCAGGACAATGTTTGCAGTCCAGGCTCCGTGGCTGGACAAGGTCTCTGGACATCCACCTTCCACCTCCACGGCACAGCCCTCCTCGTCCCCCCAGTCTGCCCTGCCAGCTGCATCTCTGCCTCTCTGTGCCCCCACTGAGCCCCCTGAGTGCTCAGCACCACCCCGGGGCAGTGTCTGGATGGGACCAGCCACGGGAAGGGGGCATGGAAAAGGGCCACCTCGTCTGCAGGACTGGGCTCTCCCTTCAGCTGCAAGCTGGAGACAGAAAGTATTAGTGAACACCCCCCTGGATGAGTCCTGACTTCCCTGGGCTTGTTCTCCATCCCCTTTTTGGCACTTCTGACTGAAGTTTCCCCCTGCAGCCTGGTCACTGCAAGGGCTCCTTCCTTCCAACCCAGCTGCCTTGAAGTCTAATAAGATGTCAAAGCTCCTGCTGCAGCTTTTCTCAGTCACGACAGCATATTTGATAAGAGTCTGCCTCTTCCACCCAGCTGCTGAGTTTCATCAAGAAATAACCTCCTGTCAAGTTTGATTGACCAGAGGGACCACCAGATGTAATCATTGGCGAGGCACAGGCAGCAGGCATGGCCACACATCCCATCCCTGCAGGAATCCATAAAGGAGGAGGGAACTGAACTGAAGGAAACCAAAAAGAACAGAACTATGAGCAGCATCACATCCCAGCTGGCAGAAAGGCAAATCCATCCTCCAGTCAGGGCTCTGCTCTCAACCTTCCTCACTTCTGGCTGCACAAACTCCCTCGTTCACCAGCAGGTCAAGGGCCAGGGAGGCAACACAAGAGGATGTGATTGAGCAGAGCTCTGCTCCCAAGGACTCCCAGCACTCCACAAAGGTAACAAAGCAGTGCAGCTAAAGGGACACAGCCAAGATGAGGAGCCTCTCATTCACAGGGAGACTTTGTCAGCACGTTAAGTTTGTTCTGAGCTCCTCACAATGCTCTGGCCTCTTAGCTTTTCTCTGGGTACAGGCAGGAACTCAGCAAAGGACTGAAAAAACAGCCAGGACTGCTCTGGGTCACACCAGCTTCTTTTTCTCTCTCGCTGGCCAGCAAATTCACTCTGCATAAAGGACACATGGAGTAGACCTCACCTGAATCCTTTTTTTGTGTGTGCTAGCCCACACAAACAGGAAATTTTACCCAAGCCCTCCATTTGATCCTTGCAAGGTTTATTTCCACCTAATTCCACCCCTGCAAGGGACCAGCCAGGTTCCTGCAAGCAACAGAGCTGAGACTCCCAAGTTTACTGACAGCTCATCCCAGCAATATCTGCTGCTGTGAAACTCAGGAAGGTGTTTTCAAAAGCACATCAAGCACAGAGAGGAGGAAGTGGGACCAGGGGGGAAAAGAAAAAAAAAAAAGGAATCATTTGATCTCCTCCTCTGACTGGAGGAAATTATCATTTCCAGCACATCAGATCCTACCTGAAGCCTCATCAAGCTTCCTGCTTGCAGCTCCTCTTGCTGTGCTGAGGGAAGTCTCTATTATCTGAAGAGATTCCCCTTTGTTTGATGAGGACTGGAGATGCTGCTGCTGCCAGACTGGCACTTCAGAGGAATGTGAACACGAGTGAGGGCTTGGAGACTCCTCCTGGCAACTCTGAAGTTGTAAAGTGAGGGCCAGGGTGCACAGAGAGGCTGCACCAGGCACCTGCTCTTTGAACAGCTCTGTGGGGACCAGCACTGAGCTGTCAGTGGCCCAAACTGGCCAGTGGCAAGTCCTGACCCTGCTTATTTTATTTTTCCTTATGCAAACCTTCGGAGCTGGCAGGAGCAGCCCACCCCCAAGCTCTGGGCACACGAGCAGCTTCCTGGGAAGTAGGGTCCCACATCCCTGTTTATTGCTCATTCCTGTTCACTCCTCTTGCCTGTGAGGTTCTGCTGATGGACACCCAGAGTTCTGTTTGTGATGGCAGTCTCTGACACCGATGGTTGGGAAGAGAATGGAGATTCTCCTCATCCAGCCTCGCTCTTACACCCAACACCACTGCTCCAAACATCCCTGAGCATCCCAGGATGTGCTCAAGGCCCTTGATCTCAGTGCCCTGGTCTCCTCTTTTTAAGCACTGGGTGTTATTCCCTCCCCTCTCTGACAATCAGAGCTGACAGAGTAGCTCCTATGAAATCCGTGCCCCCCTCGATCTGCCTTTTTTGGGGTAAGGTTTTTGTGGAATCACACCAAACCTTCCACATTAGGACTTCAGAGCAATTCACAAACTGGCAAACTGTTCCACACCAGAGAGAGAAACCGAGCCACATAATCCCAATTCTATTCACCAGACTGAGTCACATCACCTCATTCTCTTCACCAAACTCAGTCAATTAACTGAGTCATACAACCTCATTCTATTCACCACGGCACTACACTCAGGCTGGCCCAAATTCATTGACTTTGGGGGTCATTTCCTGCTTCTGCCAAGGCAAATTGCACTCAGCCCCCAGAGGAAGGATGTGACTCCCTGCAGTGAGTGACAGCACGAGCCCCATCACACAGCCCTGCACTTAAACCAAAACAGCTACAACTTTTCCCTCCTAGGGCCCAAATAAAAACGTCCCTCAAAGCAGCATTTCCTCACTGATGAGCACACAGCTCATATGCTCCCCTTAGTTGCCTCAAGGGAACCTTCCAAAAAAGCCTGAGATGCCTCGAGTTAGTTGTTTAAGGACTGTGCTCAGGAGCAGTGCATGTCCTAAGGGAAAATGAGGCTTTCTGCTCCCACATGTGCTCTCTTACAGCTCCGAGCCCAGCTCACATCAGGCCCTTCCTGAGCACAAAAGAGCAAGATCCACAAAAGGCACCCATCCCACTCCTTCCCAGGGACTGGGAAGGACTCAGGTTCTGCAGCTCATCCTAAATATTGAGTTATCCAGCAGTAAAACAAATTGGATTGCTTCAAGTAAAGGGGTGTCGTTGGTTTTGATCCAGTTAAATGAAGAATCTTATTAATCATATTAATACCAACAGGAGGCACCTGCATGTTTTGGCAGAGAGCTGGGGAGGAGGGCAGGGGGGGATGTGTGCTCTGTGCCTGGCAGCTCTGGGGGGACAGGGCTCTGAGCCTCCTGCACGGCAGGTGAGAAAACCTAATTATCTTTTCTTTCCCCTCCTGCTTAAGGTTAAGGCAGACAATGAAAAATTCCAGCCCTGGAAGTAATGCAGGAGAGCATGTGCATGATTTTAATTGCATCATTTTGAGTCGGGTCCTTTCCTGGGGTAAATCTGAGCACGTTTACAGAAGGTAATTTACTGACTTCCATCAGCTCAGTATCTGGTCTCCTCAGGGCACGTGAAGCAAAAAGGAAAGGCAGAGACACTCCTGTTCCCCCTGTCCCTGTGCAGGAGTCACCACAGCCCTGCATTACTGGCCCAGCTGGTGGGCTGAGGTTTGCCCAGGGCTGGCTGGGAATGGTGCTGCCCTCCCTTCCCACCTTGGCCCAGTCAGAGACCAGCATCCCCAGAGCTCTCCCTGGTGCCTTTTCAAAGCCCCTCTTCCAGGCTGGTTTGTGCCATGAACTGTGCTGATGAACAGGGCAATAAAAGCAGAATTGCTGTGGCTGCTCCACAGCATGTCCCTGCTGTTCAGTGACCTCCACAAGCACAGGACCCACTTTGCTCTCAGCACTGGGATGCAGAGCTGCCTCTGCCACGTCAGGAGCTCTGCAGAGGTGAACATGGTCCTGCTGAGGTGAAAGCTCCAGCAACCAGATGCACCATGGCCAGCAGATGTAGGGCTGCAGAGCCCAAGAGGCCAGGCAGTGTATTGTCTATTAATCAAATCCTGCTTTTAGGCCACAAGCTGCATGTGGGTTTGGGAAAGACATATTTCAAGAAGCTTTACTTGCCTAAAATAATCTCCAGAAACAAGCCTAAGCCTTTTTTTTTTTTTTTTCTAAATTCAAAATCCCATCTGTGGAAGCAAAACACTCTTCAGATTGTCAAACAGAAGGCAGGCAAGTCTCTTCCCATCCCCTTTCCTCCTCTCACAAACACCTCCCTGGGGCAACAGGGTGGAGAACCTGCTCTGGGGTGAGGAAGGATGTGTCTGCACGAGAGATGGAGATCTGGGATGCAACACTGAGGTCCCACACGCTGCTGGTGGGACCTTCTCCAGCAAGCACCAAACACACAGGAGGGGATGGAAGAGAGGGGCAGGCAAAGCCAGCCTGGCAAGGACTCACATTCAGCTTTGGCACAGATGAGGCAGGCAGTGGTGCAGTTAAAGAAATTCAGGATTCCTGCCACGGCCACGCTGATGTCGGTGTTGCTGGGATGGAGGTTGAGGGTGGTGAAGCGCTGGAGCTGCAGCTTCAGGAACTCCTCCGGTGCCACTTTGAAGTGAGGAACCTAAGTGGGCAGGGGAGAGGAAAGAAAATATAATTAAAGAGGAAACAGAAATAAAAACAAGTAAATCTGCGGTAAAGGGCCTTTGGTGTGAAACGCACAGCAGGCAGGAAGGGAAACATCCCAATAAAACTGAATAAGCGTCGCTGGAGTCAAGAGAGGAGGGTGGGATTTGTGCAACAGCAGAGGAAAATAATTATCACAGCAACGAGGAGCCACGGGGAGAAGTGGATCAGGAAAAGTCTTGCTGAGCCACTCAGAGAAAGGCAACAGGGCCTGTGATTACAGCCCAGGAAACCTTCCGGATGAGTTCAACCTAATTAGCTGGGGCGCTAATTGTAGCCGGGCCCACACTTCATGGCTGCCTGGGTAAGCAGGGAGGAGACTCTGAGGCAGGCTGGGATACACTGGGATGCAGGCAGGCAGGGATGCAGGCAGGCAGGGATACACTGGGATGCAGGCAGGTTGGGATACACTGGGATGCAGGCAGGCTGGGATACACTGGGATGAAGGCAGGCAGGGATACACTGGGATGCAGGCAGGGACACACTGGGATGCAGGCAGGCTGGGATGCAGGCAGGCAGGGATACACTGGGATGCAGGCAGGCAGGGATACACTGGGATGCAGGCAGGGATACACTGGGATGCAGGCAGGTAGGGATACACTGGGATGCAGCCATGGAGCCCCCAGCCCTTTGCTGTGTGCTGCAGATCCACCCCTGCCTGCTGAGCTGGTGTGTCACCGGGCAATTAAGGGCAGATGAAGGGGAGAACAGGATGACCCCGTGCTGGCAGGGCTCGGGAGAGAGGGGAACAGATGCAGCAGCCAGAAGCTTTGGGCATTTTTGATCTGCAGGTAACAGGTGGCCATACCATGGGCAAGCTCCAAGGGACTGGAACCACCAGTCCAGATAACGCTGCATTTGTCATTAACACACAGAGCAGGAGGAGGGGGTGGGATGCTGCTCCTCCGGGAATTTGGGGAGGGGGGAGCTGCACACCTTGCAGATTCCTGCAGAGGGAATGGGTGGGCAGACAGACAGATCAAGCTCAGGCACTGAGGGTTCAGCCAAATAAGGAGAGGGAATATTGTTTTCCTTTTGCTGAGTGAATTATTTGCAAGAAATAGAAGTCAGAGAAAGGGAAACATCTGCTACGGCTTCGTTAGCCGAGTGTCAAGTCGACTTTTCCTTCATTATTAGCCCTTCCTGAAGCTATCAGCCTATGCCTCCCACCTCTCTCCTCTTGGGAAAGCCTATTAGCAGCTTGTGATGGCTGTTTTATTGACAGCATAAGCTGTTTGCTTAGCAAAAGGAAACTTAAAAGAGTAATAAGCTGCTATCTGCCTTGATTTCAGTCTGCAGCCTTCATCCCGGGCTGTGTTAGCAGGGAGACAGGCTGGGAGGGAAAGCTGAATTCCTGTAACCAGAGCAGACAGGGCAGCATCCTGATCATTCCTGGGAGCCAGGACGAGCCTGAGGTTTGCAGATACCAGAGAGAAGGAAATGCAGACAGAGGGGACCCCCCAGAGCTGATCCCAGCCCTGGCTCAGACCCTTCACTCCCGGAGTCCTCCTCTCCTCCCCAGGACTCTGCCCCATTGCAACACCCCCTTCTGCACAGGGGGAAGGAAATCTCTGTGCCACAGGCACTGGAGGGGTGACACAGCAGGGACAGGTCCATCCCCACAGGTTCCAGTCCCTGCACCACGGGGTGACACGGGGACACAGTTCCCTGTGCCCGAGGGACAGAGGGATGACTGGAAGCAGGGGGCACAGTGGCACCAGCTGATGCTTCTGGGATAAAAATCACAGGGACCTGCTGCAGGTTTGCATCCCTAAGAGGGCAGCTGAGATCGAGTGTGAGAATCAAACAGCTCAGAATTGCACCAGGACTCACCTTTCTTTGCTGAGAAAAAAGAAAAGAGAGATCAGAGACTGGAGGGGCAAAACACTTCTGGTGTGTTACTACAGAGCTGCCTGGCCTGGGATGGAGCACAGGTCCAGGAGGTTTAACAGGAGAAAGCACTACAAAACACCCCCAGGAGACCCATCCTGCCACAGCTCAGTGCATTAGGTCTGAAGGATCCATCTCTTCACCGCTTCTGATTCTCCAGGAACAAGGAACAGCACTCATTTGTTAATGCGAATTATTTCCAGTGCTTAGTTCCAGCCTCCCCTCCTCGGGGGCTGGGCTCCAGAGAGAGCCCACGAAATGGCTGAGAGATGTTATCTGGCTTTAAAGGGATGAACTGTGAGAGGAGAACTCAATTTCTTTTCCCCTGTGCAGAGCCAGATCAGCGTAAGGTGGTTCAAGGCTTGGGAAATATTAAATCAAGCACACGGTCTGGACACAGAGAAAAAGGGTTTGCATTGATGGAACACCAGTAAACTGTTAAAAAACCCAAAAAAATAAAGCTTTCCACGTTTGTGCATGAAGTTGTGGCACACCAGGAGCTCTGGCTGGGATGTGCAGGAAGGATCAGGGCTCCCACATTCCCTCCCAGCCCTGGGCAGCTCACCAGGCACGGGGGCATTGGGGCCAAGCCAATGTGAGGGCATAAACTTACCCCAGAAAGGAACTTTTCCACTTACCTCCTTCTCCCCACAGATATTGCTGATAATAGAGCTCGAGGCTGGGCTTGAGGAAGGTCCCAGGACTCCAACCACTCCTTTGGGGAGAATCTGGCACACTGTGGGCACCAGAGAGAGGGAACAGGCATTAGACTTCATCCTCAACTGCTTACAGTACCTGCTGCACTAAGAACGTCACATTCCTTCACATAACACACTCCCTGCCACTTACACCCCCAGAATCCCTCTATTCCCTCTGAAGCACTGTCACCCTGCCTGTGACACTCTCCCTTGTTCCCCAGCCTTTTAAAATCCCACCTAAACCCTCCCCAAAGCCCCAGTATCCTCATCTCTGGGGGCTCTCTCTTTTAACACCCCTTTTTGTCCCCAGGATAAAACGGGAACTGAAGTATATGGAAGACACCCAACACAGCAGTGACTTGGCTTCAAAGCATCATCCAGCAGCAAACAAACTTGTATGAATTGCTCCCCTCATCCCCTGCAGAGCTCAGTGGTAATAATAAGGGCTGCATTACTGTTTTGCATTTGTTTGGGGTTGTTTTTTTTTCCCTATTTGTAGTTAATCTTCTGGCTCCTGTCCACCAAGGTTAGCAGAGCAATAAAAAAAAAACAAAACAAAACACCCTGACAAACCCAAGAAGTTAAGTCTCTTCCCTCAAGCTTCCCTGGGTTAAAATGCAACCTTTTGTCCTCTCAATTCACAGCACAAATTTAGCTGAATCAAGGAGGAGCCCAGCTGGTGTCACCTCCCTGCTGCCATCCCCATCCACCAGGAATGCTCCTCCGGAGCAGCTGCTGCAGGCAAAGCCTGAACAGAAGGCGAGAGCCCCTCGTGTGCCTCAATTCCTGGGCTCTCCCAAGCTCATGTGAACATGTGCTGGCCACGGCTCCTTCTGCAATGCCAGACCTGCCTCAGCATCCTCACACGCTCAGCTCCTTCCTCCCCACACACACGGAGCCACCGGAGCCTTCCTGAAGGAATAGGATGGGGAAGAGGGGAAGGGAGGCACCAAAACTACCCAGCGGTTCTGGCTCACAACATTTTCATGTGGAAAAAATTAAACCACAACAGCACAAAGCTGGGATTTTAAAGCTTTTGATGCTTCTTCAGCATCAAACTTCCCTCCTCACCACAGGTCCCTGGTTTACACCTCAGACGAGCTTTTGGGATGGTTGCAAAGAGTTATTCAGACTCAGTGGCTGGAAAAGGAGCTGGAAAAATTCAAATCTGAACATGTTGTTTTGGGGTTTTTTTGTAGCAAAGGGAATTCATCATCAAAATGGTTGAAACATAGATCAGAGCAGGTTTTTTATCAATTTGAAGTCTTTAATTCAGGGCTGGATGTGAAATGAGAGCCTACACTGTGCTTGGGGTGGTTTCGGAGCAGTGAGCTGTGGGGTGGAGCACAGAGTTTGGAAAGTGAACTTCTACAGCCTGATTTCAGCTACCCAAGGTTGCCCAGAGGAGCTGTGGCTGCCCCATCCCTGGAAGTGTCCAAGGCCAGGTTGGATGGAGCCCTGAACAACCTGGGCTAGTGGAAGGTGTCCCTGCCCATGGCAGGGGGTGGAACAAGGTGAGCTTTAAGGTTCCTTCCAATCCAAACCATTCTGGGAGTCTGTGATCTCTGGCCTTAAACTCCATAAGTCCCCACAGCCTCATGACTGGAATATGAGGCCAAAATCTGATTTAGTTTTTCCCTTTGGGCAATTGGTTTTACCTCTCTTTTGAAGGCAGAGCTCCATACCCTCCCCAGCCCCTGTCCACACTGATTGCTCTGACTTCTTACAGCAAGTGCTGATGAAATGCAAACATCTCCTCTTGGATTTTCCTTCCTTCTGTGCTCTCTCCCCCTGCAACAGCTCAATCTCCTCCAGAGCCAGTGATATTTTTCTGTGGCATCTTCAAAAGGAATCCAGTGCTTGCTTTCCCTCCGTGCTTAAAAATTTACAGGCACTTAGACCTCTTCAGAAGACGCTTTTAAATAAGAGCACCAGCGATTTGAAAACCCTGCCTGCTGCCTCAGCAGCCCCTCTCAGCTCCAGCAAACCCTTCAGCTGGAGGGGGAAGGAGCTGCTCCAAGTCCACAGGTCGTAAAGGCAAAATTCCCAGGGAAAATTCTGTGGTGCACAGGGAGGGGAAAAGTTTGGTGAGCGCTTTCCTTCTCATCCCCGGCACGGAGAACAAAAAGTGGGTTAAGTAGCCATAGCAACAGAGTTGCAACAACTGCCAGAAGAAAAAGACCTGGTTTTTGTCACTACCAGGGGGAAACATCCACTAAAATTAAGGAAAATGAATGGAAACAAAGTGGAGGTGCCCGAGGCAAAGGTTTTGACCACGTTTGGGAAGCTTCCCGTGTAATCCAAGCTCATTTCCTACTTCAGAACATTTCCTGATGCTCCCACAGGGAGGAAAGGCTCAGCCTTGCTGCTGCCATGGGCACTGCAGGTTCAGAAAAGGGTTGCAGAAATGTAGGTCCTGTAAAAAAAACCCTCATCCCTGCTAATCACAGAGAGTATAACCACAGACAGTGGCATATTATGGGATATTGCCCCTCCAGTCCCTTCATACTCCCCCACCTGGCTGCCACGTAAGGTGTGTGCTGGGCAGGACACATTTTTGATTGCTGCAGACTTCTCTTTGTGTCCAATTTTACATTTTCCAGAATTCAGGATCTCAAGAAACACTGGACACGGGAAAGGCATCACATTAAGAAGCTCTTTAATCCTGGGATGGGGTGTGGGATCATCCCTGCTCAGGTGTGTGTTCAGTGTGCAGTGAACAGTGACCCTCCTTTGGTAGCAGCAGGGCTGTGCTGCCACAAAAGCAAGAAAGGGATGTGTTTAATCGTTTCCATGGGTGTACTTGGGAATTACAAAGCTCTGGACACTCAGGAAACAACAAGGTATTTTTTAAAGGAAGGTGGAAACGCATGCCTATTTTTTGAACATGGACAAGCAAGACAACAAGTAGGTAACTGTGACATTATATATGTCTGTGCAGCCCCTCAGACATGGTCAGAGAGAGCCTTTTTCCTCCTGGGATCCCAAACATTTCCCTGTTCAAAGCAGGGCTGAAAGTTCTCCAGGGAGAGCATCCACCCCCGGGGCAGGACACAGCATCCCCTTCCCTGCACACAGACACCTGATCCCAGGGTTTCAAACAGCATGCAAGGAGCATTCCTGGCTCTAACTGAGCATAAATAAGCAGGGAAGGTTGGCAATGACCTCAGCATTTCCATGACTGCAAAACATGCCAGAGGATCTGGAGTGGCAGGGACTGGTCAGGACGGGAATCTCAGACAGGGAACACCAAGTGCATAAATAAATAAATAAATAGCTGGTGTTCCAGAGGGTTCATCCTGCACTCCCAGACTGCTCCCTGCAGCGTCCTTTGTGCTTCCTAAAAGGAACCCACAACCAGGGGAGCCCAGAGAGAAGCTGTGGCTGCCCACTGAAGTGTTCAAGGCCAGGTTGGAACAATCTGGTCTAGTGGAAGGTGTCCCTGCCCAGGGCAGGGGGGGGAACTGGAAGATCTTCAAGGTCCCTTTCCAGCCCCAACCATTCTGTGATTCCATGACAACCAAAGCAGGCTTAAAACGTGAAATCCCCCAAAAATGGTGGGACAGGTAATATAATAGCACATTTGAGCCACTGCCACTGAAAGGACATATCAGGCACTTTGAAATCTTGGTGTGAATAAATAAAAATTTAAAATCCTCCAGCCCCTGACCTGCCCCAGGATGTTTGGATTCACAACAAAGAGACGCTTAAAAGGCTGACGAGGCCATAGGGGACAGGGGGACAAGTAGAAGATCTGTCCCTCCCTGGACATCAAAAGGAATGAGGTGGTTTAGATAAAGACACGATTAAACAAGTCATTTTGGATCCCCATGAAAGGAGTTGAAACATCAAACACAAAGAGAGAACAGGTTTTCCTTGTAACAGCAAAAAAAAAGAAAACCCAAAAAGCTCTGTCCACAACCTTTCAGTGCAAACTCCTTGCAAACACAGATGTTTGACACAGGAGCAGTCAATGTTTGCCTTCATTCATATCTAAAGCTGAAATAGAAACCAGGCATGAATGTGATTAACTGACTCCTATTTCACCTGCTGCAGCAATTGTGATTTTTGGGGCCCTCTATCGTGAGCCAGCCAGAAGGAAAAAGGAAAGAAAAGCAGCTCAACACTAAAATAAAAAAACTAACTCCCCAAAATTCCTCCTTCTCTTGAAGCACTGACTGTTTATGGAATATCACCGATGGGGTGTAATTCCTAAATCAGTCAGCTAAACATGGAGCTGTGATATTTAACAGTGACTCAAAAGGGTGTGAAATGTGAGAACAGTATTAAACAGCTGTATAACAGCTTTGCAGTCATAGGTTAAAGCATCTAAACAGTTTTTATTAATATTATGTGTCATAACAAACATCAGAGCTGTATTAAAGCATCTGAGAGGCATGAAAGCCCTTGAAATTTAAGTCAGAGGATCTGATTCTCCTCCACTACCAGTGTAAATCAAGAATAACTTCAGTGACATTAATAGCAGAGCCATGCAGAATCCAGATTTTTTCCTTTTCAAAGACATGCTTGCAGACATTTTTCCCTCTGAAGAAAAGGCAAATAACACACTGCAAAACTCACCAAAACCACGTCAAGTTTGCTCCAATTCCTACTTTTTTTTACATTCTGTAAGCCCAAGTAAAGAAAACAAAGAAAATCACCCAAAAAGGTGCAAAGTGGAAATGGGAGGTGCCTCTTCCTCACTCACCCTGTTTCCACATTCTCCCCAAACACAACGTTTTTGCTGCAATCAACAATTTCTTGAGGAACATTTCGTTCTCAGCTTGAAAAAATCTCCCAACAGAGATTAATAAGCAGTGTTATGGGTGGACAAGTGGGACAGAAATCCTGCCCCCCATCCCTGTGGCATCCCTGGGGGTCACTTGGCAGCCAAGCCCTGAGTTAAACAACAGGAACGCTGCTCCATGCAGGAGATTTATGAGGAAGGAACAGGAATGGAACTCAAAATGCCACTGGGTCCTTCAAAGGGTCCTTTAAGACCCTTTTTTCCTGGGTCCTTCCTGCACAGAAAGCTCAGGCAAACAAGGAATTTTGTCATTTCCTGGGAGGCTGTTGAGAGATCTGGGATACTTCCAGGGGCAAACTGGGAATGTACCGGGAAGGAGCTGCTGGAGCAAGTCCAGAGGAGGCACCAAGTTGATCAGAGGGATGGAGCAGCTCTGCTGGGAGGAAAGGCTGAGAGAATTGGGATTGATCAGCCTGGAGAAGAGAAGCTTTGGGGTGACCTAATTGTGACCTTCCAGGACCTGAAGGAGCCACAAGAAAGATGGAGAGGGATTTTGGAAAAGGGTCTGGAGTGACAGGACAAGGGGGAATGGCTTCACACTGGCAGAGAGTGTAGGTTTAGGTGGGATATTGGGGAGGAATTCTTCCCTGGGAGGGTGGGGAGGCCCTGGCACAGGTTGGGCAGAAAAGCTGTGGTTGCCCCATCCCTGGAAGTGTCCAAGACCAGGTTGGACAGGGCTTGGAGCAACCTGGGCTAGTGGAAGGTGTCCCTGCCCATGGCAGGGGGGTTGGAACTCGATAATCTTTAAGGTCCTTCCAACCCAACCCAGCCTGTGATTCTGTGATTCCATGAAATCCAGGCTGTCCCCATCCCTTCTGCACAGGGAGACTGGATGTGCCCCAAAGCTGTGCCAAATGAGGGCAAAGCAGGATGTGCAACAATCCTGGGCAGATGGGAAAGACCAGGAACACAGAAGAGAGATGAGGGATCCGAACCAGTGGAGAATTGCTGCTTTAAACAGCCCCTGTGCTGCTGCCTGTGATGATTTTAATCTGTGCTGCCTCACGGGTGACAGGCTCTATAAATAGACATCCAGGTACTTGCTGAGACGCATTTTATTAACTGAACTCTCCTATAAATAATGCAAACACTAATTCAGGAAATGAAGGATGTGCTGATCTCGCAGACCCACGGAGCCCGTTCTTCCAGCTACCCAGAGTCACTGCTGAGCAGCTCTGGGTACCACAGGGCTGCTCAGTGCTCTGCAGAGCACACACCAAAACCGTGTGGGAAACCAGCCTGTCCCAGGCCACAACACACCACCACACTTTTTGGGGATACCCTGCAGAATGCACAGTCCTGGAACACAGGACTGCTGGGAAACGAGTCTAAAATCCCTATTATTAAAAATGATTTCTCCAGCTTTTTCAAGCCAACTGGTAATAAAAAGTTATAGTCCTCCCTTGAACTCTAAAGGTCAGCTTAAAAATGATTCTGAAGGGAAGCTATCCTATTCCAAAGGATATTTACTCTTATAGGAAGAGGCAATTATGGATCTTTTGGGCTCCTTTCACTCGGGCTCCCAAAAGGTCTGTGGGACACTGACCATCAATCTCCTTGTTATCCATCAGCACGGAGCTGACACACTGGGCATCCAGAGGAACAACTCTGATAGAGAACTGTTTCATTAAGGGACTTGGAAGTGATGTGGGAAATCTACTGCTCTTTCAAAATTAGCTCTTTTTCAATCCACATGCTTTTAAACATCACTTAAAAACTTCCCTTTGTGTAAATAAATCTGCTGCCAATCTCAAGCCCTGGAAGAGCTGTCATGTTTGCTGACACGCAGAGTTCCAGGGGGAATTAAAAATAACTTAATTGCACCCAACTTGCCCAGAGAGTCTCTTATTTGCTCACCATTAAGTGCTTCACAAAGGATCAGCACCTCCCGTATCGCTGCCTCTGTTTATTGACACACAGATTAAAGGAAGTAATTTGTCCCAAACCGCTGAGCTGAGTGGTGGCAAAGCCTGTTGGGGACCCAGATCCTCTCAAGTCCACGCCTGGGCTCACCTCCCAACACCAAGCTACACCCTCAAATGAAAACTGCTCTGTGTGAGCAGCAGAGGAGCAGAGAGGTGGGGTTTTATCCCTGTTGGCTGACACACAATTCCCCTCTGCAGCAAGTGTGCCAGACACCTCCGGTGAGCTGGCAGAGAGGGGAAGGGGGGCAGGCCCAGCTGCAGGAGAGGCACTCACTGGTTTCTGCTGTCTCGTACTCGCTGTCCCGCAGCAGCTCGAAGATGTCCACCTCCACCTTGGCCTTCCCCGCCCGCTCGGGCGCGCGGTTGATGCGGTTCTTGGCCAGGGTGATGGAGAGCCTCTCCCCTCTGCTGCACTCCATGGGGTCGTCCAGGATGGCAGCTGTGGGAGCAAAGGGGTTGGCAGTGGTTAGGCACGGCAGGGACTCTGTGCACGTCCCCATCCCCCTCGGCCCCCGATCCCTTCGGGATCTCCACGCGAGCGCTGGTGCTCCTCTCACCACCACGCTCGGCGCATCCTCCTTCCCACACGGCCTCTCCTGCTGTTTCACCCACCTCCCAAGGGTTTTGCCAGACAGGTGGGTGGTGAAATCTCTGCAGCAGTGGCTGTGCTACCTGTCGGAATGCCACAGCACAGCCACCCACGCTGTCGGGGCGCTGGTGGCACCCAGTACCCACCCCGGGGGCTCTCAGAGAGGCACATCCAGCTGTGCAGCCCTGAGGAACCCAGATCCAGGCTCTGCCTGACATCCCAACAAAGGAGGAACGTCCCCAGATAGCCTTGGAGCGTTCCTGTGAAGCGTTGATCCGGTGCTGATAGCTGGAATATTTCAGGAAGCACGTGGGCAGCCGTGGGTGGGGAGGGACAAATATTTTTCAAACAGAAAGCACTTGACTCTTGAACTCAGCTCCTGGGGCTGCCCACTCAAATCTGTGTTAGGCACAGGGAGAGGGTGAGGGGTATTATTTTTGTTTTCTTGAGGGAAGGCAAAAAGGAATCAGAGTTGAGCATTTTGTTATGAGCTGGCACAAGGTCTGCACCCCCCCCGGGTTTGTCCCTGCTAACAGGGGGTCTCCTCCCAGAACACAGCAATTCCACTGGATCTGGGGAAGAGCAGAGCTGTTGTTTGTTGTGTGCATTGAAAAAAGCACCAAGGCTTATCTTCCCTTCCCAAAAAATCACTCCAAAGGGAGCGATGCCATCCAGAACTGCTCAGGGGCCGGAGCAGGCAGGTGAGCAGGGCAGGGATTAGTGGGGCTCTGCTGGGCTGTGTGGCAGGGAAATGGGGAACTCGGGGCAGCAGCCCTGGGGAAGCTTTGGAACGTGGCATTGGGCTGCAGCACGTTTGGCTTGGGGTTTTTTTTAGAAGGAAAATCAGCTGAAACCTGAAATAAAGCCTGAAACAACTGAAATCAGTCCTGAACTGGAGGTATCCTGAGTTCTAAGAGCAAGGGCTGGCAGGACAGCCACTGTTCAAAGACAGAGCTCACTGGGGTACCTGGCAGAAAAGCACAGAGATGTTGGGCTGGAGGTGGGACAGAGAACAGCCCTCAGAGGGCTGGTTTGTGTCTGGAAGGTCCTCACTGCTCCCCATCACCCTCCAGTGCCAACAACACTCCTGTCTCAGGTCCAGGCTCCTTTTATTCTGGCTTTCCTGCCCCTGAGACTCACTTTGACCCAACCCCAAAGCTCAAAGCACAGCCCAGTTTCAACAACCACGTTTCAGGGCTCTTTTTCCAGCTGCTCATCCCACTGGAATCTTTTGTCTCCTGACAAAACTGCAGAGCATCCCTGTGTCCCAGTCCTGCCCCAGCCTCAGCAGTGGAATCCACTGGTGAAGCAGAAGTGCTCCACACTATCCTGATTTACTTTATAACCCTGAGGATACTCAAGAAATTCCTTCTCTTCCTAGATTTTCCCGCTTTTGTGGGAGCTGAATTAAGTAAGCACTGACAAAGAACCCCCCAGCAACACTTGTGGTGCACTATACACAGATGTCTGGGAGAATAACGTGTCCCAGCAAGCAGCTAAAACTCCATTTCTTCAGGAAAGAAGCAGCAGAGAAGAAAGTTCTCGCAGACAAAACTTTTTCCCTCCAACCCTGCTCCCAGGAAAGGGTAAATCCCTGTGCTGGAATGTGATGAACATCCCAAAAATGCTGCTGGTGTTCAGGTGCTGACACAGCAAAATTAAAGATCAGTGGTGGGGGGAGTGTGTGTCAGCATTCTGAGATTCATTAAGTTTCCAATTTAAAAGCTTCAAAATCGCTAAATTGGGAAATGTTTTCGAGTATATTCCTAATTGCCAGTTTTCAAACAAAATCCACTTCCACTAATGTGCAGTTAAAGACATTTGAAATATAAAACAGTCGAAACCAAAGCATTTTGAATTATTTCCCCAGGCCACCTAGACAAAAAAAAAAGGTTTGTTTTTCTGTGTGTCTATTCAGGATGGGATTTTCCATTCTTATTTTTTTTGAAATCTTGAAAAGTTCCCTACAGGTGAGGGGGGGGGAAAATAAAACCTCAAAAAAAATAACAACAGTAAACCCTCTTCTTTACTCAGCTCTGATTGAGTTTGAACTTTGGGACTTGTGATAGAAAACCAGCAAAATGTGCTCCCTTGCATTTTGGGACACTTTGGTTACTTTTACTAAACATTAAACCAGCCCTCAGGACCGAGCAGGTAATGAGGCTGAGCTAATCTTTATTTATTAAAGCTAGAGCATGAAAAAAGGTCATTTAATGTTTAAAAAAAAGGTTGGTTTTAAAACTTCATGTCTTGGGACATGGTGCCAAAGCTCATCTCACAGTGGCATCATTAAGTATGAACGGAAATCTTTCTAGAAATTCCCTTTCATCTCCTCCTGTCTATTAAATACGGGAAGATGCATCAAGTAAATCTTTAATCCTGAAGACTTACAGGAAAGTCTTTGAACTTTGTTGCCCTCAAAAATCACTCCTGTCTTCCCAATCATGATAAATGCCTCTGGTCTAGACAACTTCTCTGTGAATTATGAGGAAAACATTCCAGAGGGAGCCAGGAGTACCTGGATCTGTGATGCCCAACTCAGGGCTGTTCAGGATTTCCCAGGGACTGAGAGTCAGACAATTCAAGTGAAGCCACCAAGGACTGGCACAGGCTGAGTTTTCCTCTGGAATAATTGGCTGGAAACATCTTTTCCCAGGGGATGTTCCGATCTTGACAGATAAAAATCCTTCAGATAGTAATAATTATCTTTCTAGTCAATATGCCCAGGTTTTCCTTACACTTAACACCAAACCCATAAACCTGAGAGGCACCAAACCAGAAGAGTTTGTCCCCCTGGAAATGCAGAGAGAGCAGCTGGGTTGTAGTTCATCAATATTCAAGCAACGAAGTTTAAATTTCTATCAAACCCACATTTCAAATGCAACACTCAGACTTAATGATTTAACAGCAAGAACCAGGTATTTAACAGCAAGAACCATTATTGATAGGCAAAGAAATGCAAGGGGATGGGAAAATCAGATTTCAATGACTCTTCTACAGACAGTCTTCAGCTCAGGGATCTTCCAGCCCTCAGAGGGGGGGGATGAGGAGGCAGGAATTGATGCCCTGTGATGAGATGTGTGTGAAAGCACTCAGCCTAAGCCCTGCCCTACCAAAACAGAGTGTGAGGCATCCCTGTGAGTGCTTTGTCCAGACAGGAGCTGGACAAGGAGCTTCCCAGGACATGTCATCCTCAAACTCCACCATTCCCAGCCTGGGCAGAGGCATCTGCTGCACATTTCCCCCCCCCACCAGAGCACATCCCCGACATTGTGCAGGGCAGGTGCTCAAACCCTTCTGCCTCTTCTCCTCATACCCCGGAGAAACTTCTCCAGGAGGAGGAAGGACATTGATTTCTCCCCCTGAACTGCTCAGCTCTGCTCCTTCCTGCCCAAACAGCGTCGGGGGGCACGGGCAGCGCTGCCAGCCCGGGTGCCCTGGGTGCTGCAGGCAGCTGTCCTGCTGGAGCTGGGCTGGCACACAGCAGCCACCCGAGCCCCTGCAGCAGCCAGGCTGCAGGCAGCACCAGAATTCAATCCTTGCCACCCTCAGCTGGCTCTCAAGCAGGGCTAAGAAAGCAGAAAAGCTCCATCCCCCCCGTCCCCCCGAGCCATGTGGCTCCTCAGAGCCACCAGCCAAGGCTCAACAGATGCACCCTGACAAGCCCCATCCCACTGCAGGTTTTGCTGCAACATCACTCCTTAATTCATGATTCAAGCAGGATCTAATGAAGTAGCATTTTTATAACAATAACAGGGAACAGATGCTAGCAGGAGATTTAGACACTGCTACAACAAACTGTGCTCAGCTGACCTTTCCCTGTTAACACTATCATTTTTTATTTACGTTTTTCTCAGATGCTTTTCATACCTTGGAGATGTGAAGTCATACTCAGAAACACAGTTTCCATCTCAAGGCATCTCTTGAAGATGCAGATTTGGCAAAGCACTCGCTTACTAAACATATTTCACTGTTTGTAACCTGTCCCTCCAAGTTAAAAAGATATAAAGCTGTCTGCAATATTTCTCAGGTGACAGGTTAAGAGCACATGTACAACCTCTTCTGATTTATCCTGTAAACACACTCACGGAATCATCAAGGTTGGAAAAGCCCTCCAGGATCATTGAGTCCCCCCTGGGACCCATCCCCACCTTGTCCCCCAGCCCAGAGCACTGAGAGCCACATCCAGGGATGGGCACTCCAAACCTCCCTGGGCAGCCCCTTCCAATGCCTGAAAACCCTTCCCATGAGGAAATTCCTCCTGATGTCCAACCTGACCCCCACATCTCCCCTTCCTCCTTTTCCTCTTCCTCAGCCACCTGCATATCCTGCACCATTGGAGACCCTCCTCACATCATGAACCCCAAACTGCCCCCAAAACCACGAGGCTGCGGGGTCAGGTGATTAAAAAATTGTTGCAAAATTGCCTTATTTTGTCCTTTTCCCCTCTGCTGAATACGGTATCAACCCTTCAGGTTGTCAATACAGCAGAGGAGAAGGAATTTGCACAGTTCCTCATTACAGGGCTGTCAAGTGGAGCTCCAGTGGAAGAACAGGTGGGGTTGTGTTTCCATTATAACCTCTGAAGTGCTGCTTAAAAATAAAATAAAAAGTCGTCAAGGCGCTATTACTCTGAGAGGGAAGAGGATCTCATCAAGGAAAAGGAAAATCTGAAAACATCAAACCTCCTTCACAAAGAGACCTGATAATGTTTGTGTGATCGGTGCAGCACAGGGCTATTTGTTGCTCTTGGCCAACATGGGAAATCTGCATTTAAATGGAGCTTCCCTCTCATTTCTGTTATCCAGAGAGAGTGAATTCAGGGGAGAGAGAGAAGGGGAGATGTGATA